AAAAAATGGACTGACCTTTCTCCAGAAAGAGAGAATTCTGCAGCCTGATGGCCTTCAAACCGGCTTGTCCTGATCCTACAGCGGCTTGGCAGCCTTTGGATTCAAACTGGAACCGTAACTCTAGAGATGCTGGACTTGTGAGCCAAATCCTTATAGTAAACATCTCTCTATATATCCTCTTGGTTCTGTTCCTCTGATGAAACTGATACACCCATTTTCAAAATGTTGCTTCACATACCCTCGGGTTTTGAACTCTTATGGTTTACATGGTTTAACATCAAAGCAAGGAATACTGTCGTATGAGACTATAGTTTTCATTGAATTAAAAGCTGTAACTGACACCTGGACATTTTGAGGCTCTTTGTACCACGAGACAAAGGAGCAAAAAGAAATATATGATGTTAACTGATATAACTGACTCTGATTCCCAAAGAGAAATTTGCATGCTGCCCTAGAATGGGATTAGAAAGTAATAATAGGCTCGCTACTCCTGTCATTGGTTTAGTCATTAAGGCTAGGTGACACACAGTAGCGAACAACCCAAAACCTGAGTGGCTTAACTTGAGAGGCTTATTTATCCCTCATTCTATGGGAATCATGGGTAAGCAGGGGTGAGGAGAAGCTCTCCTTCCAATTCTTCACACTGATACCCAGGCTAACAAAAGAGCCAATACTGAAATACTGCTGGTTACTGTAGCAAGAGAAAAGAAAGTGTGGAACATCTAGTTTCTGCCCACAGTTTACTGTGAGAGTAAGCCATATGGCACTTGATACCTAGGGTTAAAGGAAGTAAAAAAAAAGCAAGTGCCTGGGTGGAGACCTGGAAATATTTGGTAGATAGCACTAATACTGTTACGTACCACTTATCATGTAATATTTATCAGTACCAGGTAAACGAGAAACTAATTAAGCCCCATACAAACAAGACTACCAAACTCTCAGACCGAGCAGGTAAGAATATTGAGGTCACTGCAGTGGGTAAACATTTCTGAGCATCTGACATATAGGCAAGAAGAATGTTTTGCATTTCATCTACAACTTTCAACCATTTGCAAAAACAGGACTATAAATTTGACAGGTGTTTCATTCTTTTTTTTTTTTTTTTTTATCCTCACCCGAGGATACTTTTCCATTTTTTGTACAGATAGAGTGGGAGGGAGAGAGAGGAAGGGAGAGAGAGAGAGAAACATCGACGTGAAGGGACACATCGAGTGGCTGCCACCCGCACGACCAACCAGGGCCGGGGACAAACTGCAACCGAAGTACGTGCCCTTAGCGGGAACTGAACCGGGGTCTCTCCGGACCGCAGGCCGACGCTCTAACCGCTGAGCCAAACTGGCCGGGGCTCATTCTTTATATTATTAAAAACATCATTTAATTATATTTATATTTGTAGTTCTTTTTATTTATTTTTTTACATTTCTACATTTTAGGCCAAATAGATGAAGAGAGAGGAGAAAATAATCATCTCCAGAGATGTTCTCAAAGAACCAGGATGGACTTGAAGTTGGATGTAGTAACTGCCTGGAAGTTTGGGTTGTCTACATTGTAGGAAGATCAGAGTGTGTTTTTAGTTATACACTTAGTAGTAGCAATATTTTGATTGATAAAATTTTTTACAATTTATATGTTCAGAAAACAACGACTATTAGACCAGCATTTGGACCATGGTGAAACCTATTGTTTATTCCCGCAAAGAATTCCTCTTTCATTCTCACGTTTTATTTCCTCATTTGGCATTGAGGACACAAACCATTTAGATAGAGTCTTGACAGGACTGTCAGTCAAGATGCCCTATCCCAAACTAGCCAAGGCTCTGATATGGGAAATAGGATAGACCAATAAATATGCTTCTCCCTGGGGTTTGAATCTTGAGCAGAGAAATAACATCAAAAGCATTTGGAATCAATTCCTCTCAGCAATAACTTTCATGGGACTTGTCTTTTTATTCCTGCTCTTCTGTTTCTTCAAAGTGTCCTCATCCCTGTCTTTTCTAAAATAGCTCTTCATTTTTTCATTAATTCTGTCAGCAACTTCATAATTTTCTAGTAAACTTTATTTTGAATAATAAGCCAGGGTACATTTCCATCATTTATTGAAAAAGTAAATCTAATTAATACCATGTTCAACTCTATAATCGTCAGAGACATGCTAATAAATTGATAAGGCTATGTTTTCATCTGTCACACTGGACAAAAATAGAAACTGCTGAGGATAGCCAATTTAAAGAAGGTTGTGGAAAATAAACATTATACACTGCTGTTGGGATTGTAATTTAGCACATACCCTTTGCATAGCACCTCGTTAGAACCTTACACAATTAAAAATAAAAATATTCTCAGCCAAGCAATTCTACCTATATCAACCTAGTCAATGAAAATATTTAAATATGCTCTAAAAAAACATACATAAATTGATAGATTTTAACTTGGCCTACTTGGTTGTAATTTGAAAGTATAAGCATTCTAAATGTTTGTCAATACTAGAATGCCTACCACAACAATGGAATATTCTGTAGGTTTTTAAAATAATGAAACTAATCCCTATGTACTGAACTCCAATAATATTTATCATATGCTTTTGAATATAACAAAAAACAACAATTAATGTAAAAATACCTATCTGTACAAGATATATATTGTCTTATATGAACGTAATGTATATGTAAATATATTACATACATACGTTACATTTTATGTTTATAGAATAAGTTCTGGGACTATACAAACAACTCACAGTGGTAATCCCTGAGGAGTGGTAATGCCTCTAATTTACTTTCTAAAGAATATTCATTGTGGCATGAATTTTTACAAGTGCATATATTACTTTTATTTTTTCAATATATTGAAATGAAGTAGAGGATATTAGGATGCCTACAATCAGAAGAGTGGAAAGAAACATGTAAAATATAGTAAGAAGAAGGAAAAACTGAAATGAGAAAACAAGGCTAAAATCAGTGTTATTGCAGTATATTTACATAGAGCTAAAAAGTGGTAATGGCATTACTAATTATTAATCAATTACTATGACTGGTACTGATAATAAGTAATATGAGAACACACTATGTGATAATCACATTTGTATGTGCTTCATAGGCATCATCCCATTTAACTTGAGAACTATCCTATAAGGCAGCTACTATTTTTCTCTTACAACAAAGATGATAAAGATGCAGAGAGGTTAAGTTATAAGGCTTGTAAATAACAGAGTCAATAGGCATTACAATCAACTGTGAAACAGAAGGCAGATCTTGGATTTATTTAGCCTGGGGGGAGCTATACAGAGGTCTTGGAAGGGCTAAATATTTGAATGCACAATTTTTTTTTGTTACAGATGTTTCTCCTTTTTTACCCCATTGACACCCTCCTCCCCATCCCCTCTGCCCCATCCCCAGCTTTGTTTTCCATGTCCACTGGTTATGTGTACATGCATATAAGTTCTGTGGTTTATCTCTTCCCTCCCCCTACCACCCCCTCTTCTGAGGATTATCAGCCGTACCTTACTTCCATGTTTCTGGGTCTACCCTATTCCTCAGACTGTTATGTTCATTATATTCCACAAATAAGTAAGATCATGTAGTATTTGTCTTTTTCTGCTTGGCTTGTTTCACTTAGGATAATACTTTCCAGGTCCCTCCATGTAGTCGCAAAGGATAAGAGATCTTTCTTTCTTACTGCTGCATAGTACTCCATTGTGTATATGTACCACAGCTTTTTTATCCATTCATCTACTGATGGACACTTGGGCTGTTTCCAGATCTTAGCTATTGTAAATAGTGCTGCTATGAACATGGGGGTACATATATTCTTTCTGATTGGTGTTTCAGGCACAAATTTTTAACTCTCCAGAATAACACCTACTTCTTTGAAGTTCAGAGACTATTAGAAAAAAACCATCCCCCCTGAGCTTCTGTGTTACAATCAATGCATACTTTTGTTTGGCTTTATCTAGATAGGGACTTCCTGCATGTGGCCCACCTACCCAATACGCTGATCACGATCCCTTAGACTCTGGAGTCTGGAGCTTAGCAATGGTATTGCTTAGACTAAATTCCTGTCATGAACCTGCCTGTTACAGCAAGCAGTTTCCGCATCACAGCTCTGCTTTTGAAAACAGGCCCTGGACAGCAGGTAGCAGGGAGTGCAAGACAGAGATGAATGTAATTATGGGAACCTGTGCTAATAATTGGATTTCATGTATATTTATTTCACATAGACTCATTGGTATAAATGTTATTCTGAGCATTTAAAACAGTACAATTTCAGTATTTGATTTCTAGTTTCTGAGAACAACTCGGAAGACTTATTCTAATCACACTAACTTCTTCTAAAAAAGAAGCTTGTATGAGGTTGTAGAGCTTCTCTCCACTCATCTGGTCTAATGTTTACTCTCATGTTGAAAGAGAGAAAACAGGTCAGTGGAAGGAGATGACATTAATTAGTTAACAAGGCCAAATTGATGATAATTTATTTCAGTGCATACTTGTGAAATCAAAAGTATATGATTTCTGTTGAAAATAAAATTTTATTTTACTACACTTTACCTATTAACAATAAAGTATCTTATAAGAAATGATACTCATTAGATTTTGTAAGTAGTAAGTAAGAAAATCATATTATGATTTTGATTCTTTGTTAACTAGCCTTTTTTCCGCTTCTGTAGATTCATATTTTACATTTAACAAGGAGAATAGTTTTTCAAACAGATGGTTTAGAAGTTTAAGCACCCAGCTAGTGTGTGTATATGTATGTCTATATAATAATTATTATTAGCATTAGCATTAATATTCACAATATTTAGAAGAGAGGAAAATCTGCTAGAAACAGGCTACTTTAAAAAAAGCATCTACACTGGTTTCTCTTATATAGTGGCTATTCTATATTTGTTGGTATACTGATACAGCTGCTATGTTCAAATAATATTATTTTTAGGCATGTCAGGCTTAGGGAATTAATTAGCACTAAATGAGTGAATGGTAATAATATTATCCTTGGACTTACCCTGGCATTGGTCCATTTCCAGCAAGACTGTAAACTTGACGTGGATTTAGTAGATACTGGAATTTTCTGTAAATTCTATACATATGAAAATATAAAATTACAAAAATTAATGATACAGAAATATTTAAAAATAAATAACACTCCTTAATGTTATAATTAGATATGTGGTTATAATTATAAATATTTGATATATTTTGCATTAATAATTTTAGAAATATAAAAGCTTAATCAGAACTAATGATTATTTTAAGAAGAGAGGCTTAGCAGTCATTATAAAGCAATATAGTTTATAAATGAGAAATAATGATATTAGCATTCTAAATATGCACATGCATTTAGAACATTATCCTGCTTTTAAATGTTATTTAGCTAATTATATTTCAAATAAATATTTTAAAATTATCAGTATAAAGTTACTTAAATATCTTCTCTTAACAGATCCTTGTGAAATTAATAGGATATTGAGCCAACCTAATAAAGCTGAAAATTATCTATCCCACAAATAAATTCAGATTATGCACTTTGTATGTACATAAGCAAAGAAAGTGACTTCATCTGCCTAATTATTTGACATAAATAATCATCTTGACCAGTCAGTTCATAAAACTGCAAAACTGTTTCAATAGCACATAATAATCCTATTTTTTTCCTGAAAGAAATCCATCTTTTACAACTAATCGTGACAGAAATGTTTCTAAGCACATATAGAGCCCGCGTGGTTGTCAGTCTTAGACAAAATAAAAGCAAAGAAATATATTTAGGTTTTTACATTAACTTTATATACATGCAAAATATCACTGTCCGGGGGTGGGCAAAAGTGGGTTTACAATTGTTCAAGTGGAGAATAATAATTAATGAATAACAACACAAGGATAAACTCTATGTTTTGGGTACTCCCAACTGTAAACCTACTTTTGCCCACCCCTGTATTTTACAAACACATTCCTATAATGTTTAGTGAAAGAAATTCTCTAAATGCACTGTGTGGAGTCGTTTTCCTTTTTCCCAGCACCTGACGCTGGCGGCGGACAATCCTGCACCTTCTGTGTAACACCTGCCAGGCGCAGCTGGCCAGCACACTGCCTTCATTCCAGTCTCTCTCACCTGTCCCGCCTCCAGCTGGCCTACCTAGCCTTCTGCACGGCTACTTAAGGACAGTCATGTGCTTTCCCTGATGAAAAGTTCCTGTTAGAGTCAATGTATTCATAATATAGAATACTGTATTACAGGTAGAATAGTTTATGTCTCATCTTTCCCTTCCTTCCCCTTCAGTGTTAACCTCAGTGGGTATCTCCCGGTTCCCCGAGAAACACCACACCCCTTCACAAATCTATCTTCTCTCCCCTGGCAACGTTTACTTATATCAGAATCAACTCAAAAGTCGATTCTTCTCCAAAGACTTCTTAGTCTTAGGAAATAGTTCACCTCTGAGCTTTCCTACTGCCTGGATCTGAAACATTTCCAGTTCAGCATGTTTCAGGTGGCACCGCAATGGGTCTGTTTCTGTGCCTGTGTCCCAGCAGCCTGTGGCTCTGTCTTCTTCCAGGACTTAGCAGAACTGGGGTTCGCGCAGGCATCCTGTGTGAGCAGGATATGTGCGCACTTTCACGCTGTTGACGAGTATGGGACACTTCGTATGAATATATAATCCTGTGATCTTTTGCTACTTATCTAACATATCGAAGTAAAAAACAAACAAAAAAAGAAAGTATTTTGAAAGGAAAACCCTGAACAGCATCTAATTTTTTCTCTGCGAATGATGTTTTTTATGCATTTAGGAAAATTTCTCATTGCATTCCAAATAGATCACTCAAAAACATATTTATATTTTCTTTGACTTTGAATGGTCCCTGTTAGAGTATAAAGGAGAAAAATATAAGTGAGTGTGTATAGGAGCACTCAAATATCCTCCCACCCACCCCTATTAAGTTTAATTTAATTAATTTAATTTCATTACTAAGTGTATCAATATGTTTATTAAATTTAAATAAAATTATTTTTATGTATGGGACAGAGGAAAGGCAGTTATTCAATGAAGGGTATTCTACTTGATCAATGTTATTTTAGATTAAGGGGCATATTTTCCCTTTGAAATATATTCTTTTCTGCTTTCTTTTGAGACTAAATTTGTGTTTAATTCACAACTTGAATTTAAGACATCTATTTTTTTGTGAAAACTTTACATTTCTGTGAAGATATCCATAATATGCCTAGCAGACAGACTGTGAGTAGCAATGAAGAAAATAATTATAGCATTATTATTTAATTAGTATTTTAATCTCTGTAAGTGAGGTAACTATCTCATTAATAAAGCATTATAAATATTTCTAATTATTAAGCCATTATTTATTGAAAATAATTTTGATCATGTTTAGCAAAGTTAAAATACTACTGTATATTGATAAAGGGGAAAAATTTTTAATAATATCTTGATTGAAAAATGAAGAACAGCCCTGGCCGGTTTGGCTCAGTGGTTAGTGCGTCGGCCTGTGGTCCAGAGAAACCCGGGTTCGGTTCCCACTAGGGGCACATACCTCAGTTGCAGTTTGTGCCCCGCCCTGGTTGGGTCATGCAGGTGGCAGCCACTCGATGTGTCCCTTTCACGTCGATGTTTCTCTCTCTCTCTCTCTCTCCCTCCCTCCCTCCCTCCCACTCTATCTGAACAAGAAATGAAAAAATGTCCTCAGGTGAGGATTAAAAAAACAAACAAATGGAGAACAGTCTTCATTTCATTGAAATATATCTGGAAGTTAAATGGTCAGATAGAAATTACTTTACAAAACTCTTATTCATGAAAACATTTCAACTTCATTATCTGGTAAACCACAAAGGTAATTTCTGTTTTATTATCATGATATTTATGTTAATGTTTTTATCTGATTGCTCATTTTTAGTTGGAATTAGTAAAAACTTCTGGAAATTATTATGGCAGATACAACCACATTTTTGTTTATGGCTACCCTCTTTAGAACGATATAAGATTTATTTCCCAATGTGGTGATTTTGAGACTTTCATTTTAAATATTATGATTTAATCATTAACTCATTAAAAAAATAAAAATTTTGTGTTCTGAGCCAGTCTTGAGATACCTGATAATGCAGCTCATTGTTACTAAGATTAAATGTATTATTTCTTTGGGAGTTACAGCATTATGTTCTATTAAATGCACATGTAGAAAATCTTTATAATTTATTTTGTCTAGAACATGGATATAAATTATGTCCTTCAGTACCAGGTAATGATTTACTGACGTCACCTTGTTGATCATTTACAGAAACAGTATTCACTCAACAGTATTCATGGAGCCATGTTGTATGCAAAGTTCTCTGATAAGGGCTGGGGGTGATAGGGATGATAGAGAGAATTCAGATACCTGAGCTGTGACAAGAATGTTTATAAAAGGACCTTATATGAAATTTTCAACTGTTAAAATAAGGAAAGATCATGTCATATATTACAGAAAGATGCTAGCATTATTTATTTCACATTAAAATTAGTAAACCATGCGAAATGTGTTCAAATATTTTACACCACAATTTTAGTTCATCTTTTCACATAGATATGACATAGCAAGTAAACATGACTTGAAACAAACATACCGTTCTCCTTGCTTCCCACCACTTTTGGGGTTCACAAAAACTAAAAGCGGATGAGTGCCAGGAACAGGAGTGATCTAGAAGAAAAGTTGGTTAGTCGACAAATTAGTTGACAAATTAGTCCCATATATGAAGCAGGTAAGGTGATGGCACTTTATTGGTAGGGGGAACATTAGTTTTGATATAGTGGTAAAGAAGAACTCCCGTATTGGACATGACTTCAATGTTAAAAGGTAAACTTACAAATATTTTATGTCCCCCACCACCAATATAGCTCCTATTTAAGTAGAGTTTAACAAAACAGTATTTTAATAACAAAAATTTACAACTAATGGAGTCCTCTAAATATTCAGATCAAAAATTTTAGATCATTTACTTTTGCAAAATAGATACAAAGTATCCTTTATTATATTTATTTCTATGCTAGAAAGTATCCTTAAATATTTAAGACAATGAAAAACAACCAAGTCACCATATCATGTCCTTCCTTCCTGTTTGCTTAAACGACCATAGATACAATATTCGGCCAACACTTTTCCTTCCAATTCTTAAGTGAAATGCCATTTTTTCTCATGACCACAGGCATGGTGAAAATCTTAAAACTTCAGATTAGCTAGATGAGAAAACTGTGTAAGATATTAAATTTTCTATTGTTATCCAACTTGTTTTCATTACAATTCATCTTGTTTCTGTTTTACTTTCCTGACTTGTCTCTAATTCAGTTGGGAGATAAGATGAATGAGCTGGATCTGCAGTAACTTCCCAGTTTTTCTCCCTGAACTAAATGTGCTCAATCAGTTAATGTATAGACATGTCTCCAGGCCACGCCATTGTGCTCCTGGCGTGTAACATATGTCCTTCTTCCCTATGTAAAGGCTAAAATGAAGAAAAATTAAACACACCTTTATCTGAAGAATGTATTCTATTATCTATTTCTCATCCTATTATAAAATCAGATACAACTAAAATTTTCACATGCAAAAAGAGCAGTTCTAACAGATGTGGATTTTAGTTGATTTCTGAACTTAATCTGAAATTGTATTTCTTCTTTTTAGGTAGAGGTGAGAATCTCATGGTAAATAAAATTTTTTGAGCAAATCATTAAATCTGAACCCAAATATATATTAGGATGATTCTTCACAAACACACCATTCAGCTTACCAATCATTATATGAGACTATATTAAATCCACACTGGGTTGAATATTTGTAATTTATTTGAAAACATGTTCTAGAATACCTTTCAACAATATTTATTTATTACAATATGTCAATGCATCATTATTATTTACCAAGTAACTATCCCATTAGAATAAAATACAATATGTAGATGACCTCAAAATAGAAAAATATTGATCTCATTTTTAGGAGTGGATAAATGGATAAATACAACAAATAGATTAAATTTAAAAAAGAGAATTTTGATAAAGGAAGCATTTGGAAGAATGATACTACTCTACAAGAGACAAAAGTCATATACCCAAAATGGAAATATAGGAATAATAAAACCAATAAGAAACTTTTCCTCACATATACCCTTATCAGAAATTAGGTTTGAAAATGAGACTTTATAAAAATAAATATTAGAAACTTTAGATATGTATTTGTAAGTTCTCAGGTACTGTGAAATAGTCCCCCTTTGCTAATGACATTAACAGATAAAACACCTGACCTAATGCAGCCTATATTTAAGCAGTGATAAGTGATTAAGTGTCAGCACCATGCAGACTGTGGTGTTAATGGATCATTTAGTGGTGTTAGACTAGAAATGCCGTGTTTCCAGGCAGATCTGACATTTTTTTCAATGCTCATTCAAAAAGCTTTAAAATTCTGCTCAACTTTGTGGCTATAAACAGGATGCCAATCCAGCAGAGTGGATTTAGGTACCAGGAGACCACAGGCAGAGTTCTTGAGTTTGAGAACCGAAGACCTGTAGTACTGTGGAGCCATTTTCAAATTTGAACAGTTAAAAATAAACAACTACTGTGTTCACTAATCGTCCTAAAATAAGAAGGAGTGTCTTAGTAGCAGAGTATCTGCTGTCGCTGTAAGTTCTCTTATTCCCTGCATCACCGATGAGAGCACACTGGGCAAGGGTATTTTCGTAAGCCCCCTCTTCACAGCTGTCTTTGGAAGCTGTTAACTGTGGCTTAAAAAGTTACATACATCTTTGCAGTCTTCTCATGTAAGAATGTCAAGAAATAAAGTACAAAAATTTAAAACTGTGTCTATGTATTTTTGTGACGAGATATAGGTTGAAAGTTGCTATTAACTGAACTGTGTCTCCTGAAACTCGCATGGTGAAGACCTAACACCCACTGGGAGAACAGTGAGGTAAGCAGGTCACGAGGGTGGGAGCTTTGAATAAATTAATATCCTTTAAAGTAGAAAAGATTCTCTCTCTGTGTATGTGTCTCTCTCTCATCCCTCTCTCTGCCTCTCTCTCTTTCACACACACACACACACACACACACACACACACACACACACGACGAGGCCATGTGAGTACTTAGAGAGAGATGGCTGCCGCCTATCAGACAAGAGGAGAGGCCTCAGAATGTAACCAACCTTGCCAGCACCTTAACCTTGAACTTTCCAGGCTCTAGAACCGGGAGGAATAAATGTCTGTTATTTAAGCCACGCTGTCTGTAGTGTTTTGTTGTAGCCTTCTATGCTAATACAGAAGTGTCCAGTGGAAACTCAAGATGTGCTCTGAAAAAGGAGGAGTGAGCCGGCCGTTGTGGCTCAGTGGTTGAGCGCTGACCCATGCACCAAGAGGTCACCGGTTTGATTCCCAGTCAGGGCACATGCCCAGGTTGTGGGCCCGATCCCCAGTGGGGGGCATGCAGGAGGCGGCTAATGGATGTTCTCTCTCATCAATGTTCCTCTCCCTCTCCCTTCCTCTCTCTCTCTCTCAAAAAAAAAAAAAAAAAAAAAATCAATAAAGAAAAAAATTTTTAAAAAGGAGGAGTGAGAGCTTCACGCTATCTTTCTCAGCGTGCCTGCAGGGAGCTTGGTATCATGAGGCCCAGCAGCCATCACTGCCAATGAGGTGACCTTGAAGATGTCACAGACAGAGGATGGAAAAGTTAGTACCAGTCCTGATGAAAATGTGGGGCTGCCTTATCAGCCCTACTTCCAGAGAGGCTACTTCTGGACTTCATTTACAATGAGAGAGAGAAAGTATGGCTATCTTGTCTGAACCACTGTTACACTTTATTTGTTCCTTTGCTTTTGTTTTATTCCCTGTTAAATACTATAAAAACTAGTTGTATTGATGTGGAAAAACAAGATCCATAGGGGGAAAGACTTGGATAGAGATGGAATCAGGCATAGAAACTTTATCCTTCACCAAACTTACAAATATTTCCTGTCTCTGAGTGAAGAACAACAGAAACTTGATATCAAAGTCTACAAATAGCCTCTATATTTCATTTTATCTTATATTATTACTCTTATTATTAACTATGGACATTTCCAGTTAATCCTTTTGTAACTTAATAGACTGAGATAAGGAAAACTGTAGGTATTATTAGATATGATTTCAATTAGTATATTCAATATATTTGTTTCCATAGCCTGTTTTTCAGAGCTGTCTAAATCAGGTAAGAACTAACTTACAGAATTCAGAATTCAGTCTAACGGAGCTTATTTTTACTGTGATGCAAATCATATACACTTACAGGAATTTAAGCACATTAAAGAAATACAAAAGTTTTCTTAGTTTCTGAAACAGTATATCTGACTTCTATGAATGATGAAATTTTATGAAAATATCTCACAATAATCTGTTTTTTACACTGATATTTTAATTTTTATATTTTGAAACAATTTCAAAGTTACAGAAAAATGAAAACACTGTAGAAACGTCGTTTTCCCTGAACAAATTCAGAGTAAATTGCCAAAATGATGTTTCATCACTTATTTACTCCAGGATTGCCAACACACAAGAACATTTACTTACACAATAATAACACAACTTCAAAATCAGGACAGTAACATGATTCTAGAGTAGTTTCTTTTGTTACAAAAGCCATTGTTTAGAAAATTGGTGGAACTTGAATGGATTCAGGATTAGATAACACTAATCCACTTATATTCATGCTCGCAAATTCTCTTTTGAACTAACTACATCTAAATAGTCTTTAACAGAAAAGTTTTGTACAGTCATTTTCTTTTAAAAATTATTTTAATGTGTTTATCTTTTTTATTGAATTTGTTGGGGTGACACTGGTTAACAGAATTATACAGGTTTCAGGGGCACATTTCTACAACGCATTATCTGTTGTCTATGCCCATGAGTTTTTCTCTTTTTTTCTTTTTTGCTCAATAATTCTGAAGTAAGATGTACAACTCAGATATTTTGACAACTGATCTACCGCCACCCTAAAATATATTCATTTTGTTGACTATTTTGGTAGAATGAGAAGGTAAAGACAAAAACAGGAATATATGAAACAGTTGGTTGGCCTAAAACTGTTTGTTCTTGGAAATAGTTATACAGCACTTGAAGTAATTTTAGTGGACCAGTATATAAAACATATGAAAGGCAAGTTGCACTGTTTAAAGTGTTAAAAAAAAACCAAACCTGTTCTCAGTGTCAAATCACCCACCACTGGTCTTGAGGAAAATCTACAGAACCCTGGGCTTCTCAAAACAGTTTTTAAGAAACATTAGGATAGGGTAATACAGTATAATCTAGAAAATATTAATAATGGGAGAAAGTGTTCAAGGAAGATTTCATAGCAAGTGTGGTACTTACAATCTTGAAGAATAATTATAAATTTGGTATGAAGGGCATTTCAGAAGGAGACAGTTCATACTAGATAATTCTCCATAGAAAATAGAGCTAATCAGATGAAGTCTTATTTACTCACATAAAGGGGCAATATTATACATTAAATATTAAAGAAGATGACGTTAGGGTCAGACTGATGTGGAAGCCCAGTTCAACCATTCCTCTTTCTCTATAGTCTATCCCTTAATTATCTCATTTTAAAGGATGGGTTTAAGTCCCATCAAAATACCTTTCACTTCCAAATTCTTCTCTGTCTTTTGTCCTAAACTGTAGATTCACATAGCTGTCCACTTGACATCTCCATTTAGATGTTTAACACATTAAAAGTTTCTCTCCAAACTTGATTCACCAAGATCCTTCTTCACCTTTTCACTTGCAAGAGTCAATCATCTTTGAGGAGTTCCTGACTCCTCACGAGTAATCTGGCCATCTTACATAAAATTAGAGACAACTCCGGCTCTCTGTCCTGACATATCCTTATTCATCTCCATTTTTCCGTGTCACTTATAAACTAGTACATTATATATGTGGAAACAGAGACTCACTTTAAAGGTTGTTGTAATACTCAAAGTAGAGACTAGTAATTCTGGACATAGAGAAGGAGTAAACATGACAATGAAGAAATGATTACAAAGGAATCAACAGGCTTGCCCTGGCCAGTTTGGCTCAGAGGTTAGAGCGTCAGCCTGTGGACCAGAGAGACCCGGGTTCAGTTCCCATTAAGGGCACGTACCTCGGTTGTGGTTTGTTCCCAGCCTCAGTTGAGGTTGTGTGTGTGGCAACCAATCAATGTGTCTCTCTCACATCGATGTTTCTTTCTGTCTCTTTCCCCCTCTCTCCCTTCTGCTCTATTTGAAGTAAATGCAAAAGTGTCCTCAAGTGAGGATTAAAAAAAAAGAATCAACAGGCTTGAGGAGCCCAAGTGGGACATACATGCACACACCAATCAAAGAAAGGGAATTAATTTTTATACATGCACTGTATAGCTGTGTATAGTGCATATGTGGTACTCAATTTAGTCTTGGTGATTATAAGAATGAAATACTGCAAGGAAGACAGAGTCGGGATATGGAAAAGCAGTTTGGTAGGGACAACACAGGTGTAATTTTAAGTAGTTCAGTATAAAGGTCCCCTCTTTGTCTTTTGTTAAGAAATTAAGACTAGCCCGGCCAGTGTGGCTAAGTGGATTGGGCGTTGTCTCCTGGATTTAGAGGTTCTGGTTTGATTCCCGATCAGGGCACAGCCTGGGTTGCAGGCTCCATCCCCAGCAGGGGGCGTGCAGGAGGCAGCCGATCCATCAATGTTTCTCTCTCACATGAATATTTCTCTTTCTTTCCTTCTCCCTCTCTCTAAAAACAGCAATAAAAACATTTGTTAAAAAGAGAATATTAAAACGAGACATTTTGGTTCTCAAGTGATGCTTTTATTTGAGAAGTTTTCTCAAAGAATAATTAGGAACAAGGTAACAATAGTGTAAAACACTTTAAACAATTGTTCTGTTTTCCTACTCATTTGTGCACATGTGGATAGTCATCTGTATGTTTATATGTCCTGCATGCTAAGCAATTGTAGTTTCAATTACATTTGATCATATGTATTAAGTGTAAACCTATGGTGTGAACGATGACAAAGACAGAGTGCCTAACCACCTCTATTTGAAGTCCCCTAGGACTCGGGTTAATTAATGAGACTCATCCTAAGGTTATACATGATCTATTACTTCCTCTAATTAGAAATAATAATCCTGATCATTATGCTGGTTAGCTGGAAAGAAGTAAGATGAATGTGCTTAACTGTGATTAATAGTGTTCTTTCAGCAGCATGGATCTGCCACTGAGTTACACGCAAACTGGGAAGCAACTCAATGCTTTTTATAATATATAGTTTTAAAAACTCACAAAAATTAATTTTCTGGTAGATTCTTATACTTTTCCTGATTGGAAACAAAAACCAATTGTATTATTTTAAAATCGATTAGCAAAACAAAAATTTAGTTATTTTTCCATTTTGCATGAATAGCTATTCAAGAATTTAGTCTTTTACCTTTTTACGTATATTCTCCAAAATTTTGTGACTACTTACATGTGTCTTATTTCACTCCATTCTGCTGGGTTGGAACAGACTATTTTACAGAATTATATACCAATTTTTTTATTTAAAAATTACAACAATAATGGTTACATTAAGTGATATTTATTTACCACTGTTTTGTAAGAGCTGATGTCTATACTTAGCTTACTTACAACTTTCCCTGACACTTTATATGCCACAGAAAGCGTGAAAAGTGATTGTCTGGCTAGAGGGATGAATCTCATCCACATAAAACGTTAATAACCTACTGTTTTTAATGTGACTTATTTGGTTGGAATAAGATTGAATATTTCCAATTATGTTTGAATAAAAAAGAAAATGCAACTTAAACTGATATATCAGTGTAAAGCTTTTAAAACACTCTGTATAGACATTAAATTTGGGTTTAAAGTCTGGGTAAAGTACAGTCTGTTTATTCCAATCTTAGGAAACTGAGAGGGAAAAAAGTTTTAATGCATACATGATTTTTATCTTAAAATCTGCAACAAATAGAAAAGTAAATGGAAGAACAAGGTGGTCAGAAATTTAGCATTTATATACCTGGTAAAATTTCTTAGCCAAGGAGATGAGGTACCTTAGAGGTAAAACATAATAAACTCTGAGTCGGAGGATCTGCATTCAAACCTGAGCTTTCCCAATGACTAACTGTGAGGTCCTGAAATAATTTTACTCTGAACACCAATATGTTTATTTTAAAAGTAATAATGATGACATTTATCATATGATTATTACAAAAAATTAAGAATTAATATCTATCACCCGGCTAGTATGGCTCATTGTTTGAGCATTGACCCATGCACCAATAGGTCTCTGGTTAGATTCCTGGTCAGGGCATGTGCCCAGGTTGTGGGCCTGATCCCCAGTGTGGGGCATGCAGGAGGCAGCCAATCGATGTTCTCGCTCATCGATGTTTCTCTCTCTCTCTCCCTTCCTCTCTCTATAAAATCAATAAAGGAAAAAGAAATTTTTTTAAGTTAATATTTATCTCATGTTTATAAGGCAATTTCACTTAATATGCATAAAATTATAGTGCTTAGCATAAACTGTTTAACAAACAATGAATGTTTCCCTTTTAAGTTGAGAAGTAAGTACCTACCCAACTGTGAAATATATTTAAATTTTAAAATTCAGTTTTCTTGTCATTATTTTCATTACAGGAACCCAGAGCAACTAAAGATTTAAATTAATCAATATTTGCAATTGGCATACTAAATTTACACAACGTTGATTTTTTTTTGAAATATTACTGAATCCATTATGTTTGCTATCAAAATTGTGAATAGATTTTATATTTGGGACTTTAAACAAAATTGCTAAACACACAGATATGACTTCCAAAAAGTGTAGATTCTGATTTTCTCTTTTGATAGTGAACTTTTATACTCTCAATTTAATGTAATAATTTTATCATTCAGAATTTCCTCAGTGGATCCCAGGCAACGTAGCAGCTCTACGTAATACATAGAATTAAACACAGGGAGGCTGTCTAAATGAGGAGACAAAGAAACACATCCAGAATGAAAGCATAGAAAAAAACACCAAAAAAAGAAGTAACAAACTGGAGACAAGCCATCTATTAGATGCAGAGTTCAAAACACTGGTTATAATGATGCTCAATGAACTTAGGGAAGAGTAGATGAACTTACAGAGAACTTCAACAGCATAAAAAAATGACATGGAAACCATAAAAAGGAGCCAGTCAAAAATGAAGAATATGCTAATTGAAATGAAGAATAATTTACAGGGAAATCAACAGTAGAGTAGATGATGCCGAGGATCAAAACAGCAATTTGGAATGCAAGGAAGCAAAAAGCACCCAATCAGAACGACAAAAAAAAAAAAAAAGAATCCCCCAAATTGAGGATAGTCTAAGGAACTCTGGGACAACTTTATTTTAATTTAATAATTCATAATAGATTTTCTATTTACAATGTTAAATATTAACCTGGTTAAAAATATTTAAAATGTTTTTTTCTTAAATTTTCAGTAAGATATTCAAATTAATGAAGTCAGCATTAGGTAATCACTGTGTGCCCTGAACTGTGCTACCAAATTATGGACTATAAATATATACTCTATGGTACAGATAATATAATAAATGAAGCAGGAAGATATAATATCATGCATATTGAATGTGAATGTGTGACATAATGTATCTTTGTGTGGAAAATGGTTGGTAAGTTTCCCTAAAGAGCATGAAACTGGAAGTATATTCCTAAGTAGAGGAACTGAAAATTGGTAGAGAGAAACATACAGGTAGAAAAAATAATGAATTTTACAACTTCATAGCGTAAACCTTCATTGATTGTTTTCATACTGGAGTGAGAAACAGAGGCAAAATAAAATGCGGTCAATTCACTCTGTAGGATATTCTAAAATGCAGCTGGAAAGAAATATTGTTCCTGATGTCAGAGGCCCTAGAGGAAACTAGAGGTTTTTAAAGTACTAAAAACATGATTTTGAGCTAACTATTATTACTTAAACTAGGAGTATATATGCAGTTTCAATTTGACTTTAAAACTTTGGAAGATATAAAGTATAATTGGTTTGTTATTTTTATTATTTATCTAAAAACAAAAGTACCTAGATAATTACAGTTCATTTTATTCTCCCTAAAGACACGTTTTGCCACCAAAATGACTCTTTCAAATATATACATTAATGCAGAGAAAGTATACTTGGAAACATACAAAACCTACATGTACAATAATGTATATTTAGTAATCATAGCTTGCAAAAACTTAAGGTTAACAGATCTCTGAATTTTGAATTTGAATTTAAATGCACATACATCATAAATGCTTAATCTAACCAGAATGCCAATCAACTATAAAACTGATGTCTTGTTAAATTAATCAAGATTGTTCTGAAGTCATCTCCTGAGCTAATCTGCAATTAGATAGATGTGTTGATACCTGGACATATGCCCTTCTAGGAGCACAGAAGTAACAAGTATGAAAGCTACTAAAATGCACGTTTAAACACCATACCTGCAGGCCTTGTCCGTCCACAGTAACTGAGTTGGCTCTTTGCATTTTGTTCTTGTCGGTCACTTTGTTTGGCTGCTGAGATCCACCCTTTTCCTTCTTCACTGATGTCTGTCTTTCCTGTAAGAGAAAAAAGCAAACAAACAAAAAAACTATTTTATAAAAATATTGAATTGTCGTACTAAAAGGAGCAACATATAGAAGAATTTCATGGCTACAAATTGGAGCCCAGATTCTTGGTGAGTAATTATGAAAGCTTTGCTTTCAAATGCTTCAATATGTATGAGAGATGCTGATCAAAATCTCAGTTAGAGAAAGGATGTGGAAGATAATCAAATCGTATTATCCCCATGGGCCCAATAGCTCTATCAATAGTTATTCAGAACCACTAAAGCTAATTTTTCCATAAACAATGGTAGAGATGAATAATACAGAATTATAAATTAAATATTTCATACTAAGCCCTAAAAATAATGCTTATGAATATAGGCATTATTGAAAATGAATACATGGTGGACTTTTAAGCAACGAAGAAGCTATTATCAAGGATGGCACAAACTTTAAAACTCACATTCCACCCCAAGAAAGAAAAAGCTAATTGTGGGTGTCTGCTCCCTGTTCTATTTCCTCTCTTCTTCTCATTCTCTCTTCAACTCAACCAGTAAATGTCATCAACTCACAAGTCAGCTTTTATTAAAATCACTGATGAGCTGCTCATTGCCACACCTGTAGGTTAGTCTTCATCCTCTCAACTTTTAAGCAGCAATGAGCAGAAGTAATGTCTTCTTCCCTCTTGACAGCTTGCCTCACTGGGCTTCCAGAACATTCCTCTGTTAGCTCTCTTTTTACTTCACCAATAGAGCTTTCACAGGCTCTATGGTTGGTTCCTCCTTCAGCTTTATCGTCCTTAACAATTAACCTCTACCTTTACCATCTACACTCATCCCTAGGTAATTTCATTTAATCCAAGGCTTTCAACTTCAATTTTCAGGTGAAGACTCCTCGATTTATTTTTCTGTTCAGATTTCTCTCCTAACTCTTAACTCCCATATACAAATGCTCTTTCTGCCTGTCCTCATGAGGGTCTAAAATTCATTATCAATCCCCAAACAATCAAAATTGTTTATTTTAATTTTCTGCCTTGTCCCCTTGAAAATAAATCCCAAACTAGACAATAACTGACCACCTCCATCATTACATGAGTTAGGTTAAGCCACCATTATGTTATTTGTCTGAATATTAACAACCATAGCCAAATGGATCAATGTGATTCTGACTTTATCTCGATACAGTCAGTTCTCCGTACAACAGCCACAGTCATCCCTTCCACTCCATTCCAGTTACACCCCCTCCTTGTTGTGCCTTGATCACAACATCATGCTCTCAATTCAGGGTCTTGCAACTGCTCTGCTCTCCACCAGAAAGCGTGTGTACTTGTTTGGCTTGTTCCTCACTTACTTCGTTTCTGGTCAAGTGCCAAGCATACTTCTCTGCTCCCTCAGCCTCCTTCCGTGTGTAATTTAATAAAACCTGAAGTGTTATTGATTTAATTCATTGAATGCTGATCTTCCCCTACTTTAATCAAAGCTTCATGAGGGAAAGGCCTTTGATGCTTCACTGTTCTACATCGCAGCCTAGATCAGTAGATGACAAAAGTCAGGAGAAATGGGAAAATACACAAATTTTAACATTATAAACAAATAAAAAATAAGTGCCTTAATTAAGCATTATATTGAGAAAGATTCTTGGGTCACGTCTAGGCTCAGTATAAATAATTGTCCTGATCCATTGGCAATATTTTCCATGGGTGCTTAAATGCTTGAGTGGCACTTTCCGATCACTTACTCAGATACGTGTCCTAGTTTCTGTATTTGTTTTTTAGAGTACTAGTTCAATTCTGTAATTTAGAAAAAAGTTTATACGTGGACTTAAAGATGAAACTCTTTAAAAATATATCAGGGACAGATGAATCAGAAAACTCTGTGAACCCAAATAAATGCTAACCAGGATAGACCATTTACTTTGCAATTTCATGGTGCAAAGACACTACATGTACTTTGTGTGTGGCTGAAATGGATGGTACAATAAGATCCCTGAAATTCCTATTCTTTGGAAAATGCTGCACTTACATATAAGCATAATTTCTGGGAAATATTGATACTTTAAAAGATCAATCATGCTTTATAAGATTACAAAATACAATTTTGTCCATAAATAGTTGAGTATAATGCATAGAAAGAGTGAATTACAGGATGAGGTTTGGACTAAAAAAACCTGAGAAATATTATGTAACCTTAGAGAACTTATTCTTCAAATCGAAGGTAGTGATTAATATCTACTTCTCAGAGTGTGTAAGATTTAACAGAAAATGTATAAAGTCTTAACATTGTGCCTGTATTATAAATAATGTAAAATGAGTGTGGTTCTGCCTTTAGGGTGTTCATTAATATTATCATTATGCAAAGTGTTTATTATATTTCCAAATGTGTGTGTGTATATGTATGTGTGTGTATATACACACACATATATATATATTTACATTAGCATGTTTAAATAAGTTTAGCTCAATGTTTACGGTAGAAAATCTATAGTTTGTGTTAAATGTTAAAAAATGTGCTCGCCCTGGCCAGTTTGGCTCAGCAGTTGGAGCGTCGGCCTGCTGTACAGAGAGACCCGGGTTCGGTTCCCATTAAGGGCGTGTGTCTCAGTTGCGGTTTGTCCCTGGCCCTGGTTGGTCGTACGGGTGGCAGCCACTCGATGTGTCCCTTCACATCGATGTTTCTCTCTCTCTCTCCTCTCTCCCTCCCGCTCTATCTGAACAAAAAATGGAAAAATGTCCTCGGGTGAGGATAAAAAAAAAAAAAAAAGGGCTCAGCCAGTGTGTCTCAGTGGATTGAGCATTGTCCCATGAACTGAGAGGTCTTGCTCCTGTTGATTGATTGCCTGTCAGGGCACATGGCCCAGCAACGCCAGTTCGATCCCCAGTAGGGGGCGTGCAGGAGGCAGCCATCAATGTTTCTCACATCGATGTTTCTATCCCCGTCTCCCTACCTTTCTCTCTAAAAAAATCAATAAAAACAATTTTTTTTTAAAAGTTCAAAATGTAATACTATTGGTAAGTATGGGAATAATTTCTTCCTAGGTTCTTACATGCAGGTTAATAAAACATGATAACAAATATTCTATAAATATCTACAATGCAAAAGACATACCTATCTTATCTATCTGATATTCTACCATAACTTTAATATTATGTTTTGCCATATAATCCAGCAATTGTTATTTAATATTTAATGTCTAAAATAATTAGGTTACAGGAATTGAATAAAATTAAGTTGGTTAGTCACATTTGAAGTAGGTATTTATAACTAGACTATTTATATATGTAATTCTGAAAGTTAAGACATATAGGTATATGTCTGTAAAGGGCTACCATACCATCTATTAACATTATTTTATTCTTGGCTATGTATAGAGTTAGGGAAATTTCTTCACAGTAAGAATCTTCAACTAACACATAGCACTTGATTAAGTGGCTTGATGTCTCTCCAGGGCGTCATCCCTCTGAATGAACTGTCATACAGACTAAACAAATACTTTGTGGTCACAGTTGTAAAATATGGGGTGGGGCAAAAATTACGGTTACAGTTTTTTGTATGAAAAATAATGCAATAATTAATAAAAAACAATACGAGAATAAATTCGTTTTGCATACTCACAACTGTAAACCTACTTTTGCCCCTCAATGTATAATGAACACATTTTAAAACCCTAAATTAAATTCTCCATTGATAAAATTTTCTTTTTGAAGCCTACAATCATAAGAAAGGGTCTATAACAAGTTTAAAATCTTCACTGTATCATCTGTTTATGAATTTTCATTATATAATCTAGACAACACTAAAGTGGTAAACATTTGTTTACATACATTCACACTCAGAAAACCAAGTGGTTTCTTTGTTGGAGAAAAATATGCTTACTGCGTAGAATTTGTAGAATTAATCAAGCTGAAATTTTTACAACAGGAAAGACTCATAACCATTTAATTTTTCCTAGGGCTTTCTTTTTATTATACTCATTTGTTCTATGTTTATTTCCCAATTTTATAGAAGTCTCTCTGAGATACTTGCTGTATTTTATTTAAGCAGCATAAGCTAACAGGAGGGTAGTTGGACACCTTTCCTATTTCCACTGAGAAAATATTTACTTCTTTTACATGAGGGGCAGGAAGGGGGAAGCAAAGACATCTTTGAAAATCTGCTGTCCACAAAAATGTCAGAGTCTGTTTTGAGGGTTAATTAGCCCCGACTGTCAGCCATATTGTGACATTGGAGTTACTTCCCAATGTAGTACTTATTGAAAAGTTTCAGTAAGAGCTGACCAACATGATTGTGCATCATTATTCAAAATAAAATAGCTCTCTGATAATAGTGCTCATCACTTCACCTTCAGTAATTTCTTCTTTCAGTTTTGGAGCCCTAAATAACAAAATTAATTTGTTATAATTAAGACAAATTTTGTTGTTCCAGATAAATTATCCCAGATATAAAAAGGGATAGAAAATTATTGCTGTAATCAATAGAAATTATTCAAACACTGAAAAGAGCTACTCTAACAAACAAAACATGAAAGAATATAGAACATATAACTACAAAATGTAAAAAACAGTTATTGATATTTCAGCATTTTCAAATATCAACCATTTATGTTTGCTATACAGACATTTTAAACGTAGAAGTCAATGTTTTGTGATTCTTAGACTCTCAAAGAAGCACAACAGATCTTAACTGGGGAATATATTGTATTAGAATTCCAAAGAATAATCACCATAATGAACGCAGAAGAAAGGCTGCAAAGACCATTCACGGAAAACAGAATGATGGAATAAGTGAAATGAAAAGACCTCACTTTAAATATGTGTTCCAAAAAAAAATATATCTTTTTCTGCATCATGCTGATTCTCAGATGTTTTTAGTATTTGTACGTGGCTGAAAACCGCTTTCACGAAAGGGATGTTTACCACAATCCTCAGCCTGCTGTTATCGATCATTCACACACCACAAGCAGCAAATGATGATTACCTCAAGCACAGGGTTTTCTTCTTTTTGTCCAATCTCAGCATGAGAGACAGGCAGCAGCAAAGCACCTCTATTGGTACAAAGCCACAAAGAAGGGGAGGGAGTGTGCTCGGCCGCCAACAGCATCCTTCAAAGAATCCTGCAACTTGCTTTCTTTGCGGATGCTTCAAACTTGACCTAATGAAGACTTAGCCCCCACCAGAGCTGGGCCCCAAGAATCTCTCCAAAACTCTAGAATTTTAACCTCAGGTAATACTTGGATACTCATCATATAAAAGCCCCCCTGAAGCAGAAGGATCACCCTATCATTGGCACTTAGAAGTGTTGCAAGCTCTGAGAAACCAACTATCGACAGCTGCAAAGCTGTACCTTTGATTATTATTGTGACCTTATGGTACAATTTGAACATTTCTCTGCCCAAAGAAACAAATTCATTTCAAAAATGGCAAAGGCTCTAAATCCTTTGGGCAAGTTATTTACTATCTCAAACTCACCACTGAACTCATCTATAAATGAAAAGTTTCATGTGATGATAAATTTAGAAAATGGGAAATGCTGGCATAAAACTGGCAGTTAGTTCATGGCGGTTATTTTTAAAATATAAAATAATCTCGTTGTATTTTATCATGAAGTTTAAAACAGGGATGCTGCTTAGATCGCGGCAGTGACAGGTGGGTGCTCTGAAGGTCTGTACCAAAACCATGAACTTGGGCTGCTTACAGGCAAAGGGTAGAGCCAGTAGGAAATTAGGAGTGTGTTTGTGCCTCAAGATCACTCAGGCTCATTCCCTTTGCAAACCGTACTGACTGACGCCCCAGGTTGCTGAAGGTGAAGAGCAAGGCAGCTCTTTTGTATGAGCACATTCGTCATCTCTTTCTATCAGTTGAGTTTCATGGTCAACCTAGCAATTTCTGTGTCCAACCCAATCTGTGTATGCCAGCTCCGAGTAGAAGTTACCTTGATATTATAACTGTGTAACTTAATTATTACTCAAGCCATCGAATTATGTGTATAAAATGAGTTGTTTCCATGAACAGTAATGCATGTACGTGTGTGTGCGTGCATGCATATGTGTGTGTGTGTGTGTGTGTGTGTGCGCGCGCGCAGGAGGGCTGGTCAAGTTGGGTATGGACACAATGCCTGTAAATGCATGGAGAATTAGTAATAAAAATTAAGGCTTTTTTAATATAAATTTCTCCATAGATATCCTTGAGATTTTGTTGTACTTTAAAACAGCTGAAAGAAACTGAAAACAATTGCTTTTATTACTATATGAATATTTTTATATGAAATAAAAATGCTTTTGTTTTACTTTAAAACAATTGATAATTGAAACTTATAGTTGAGAAGACCTTGATAAATGCAAGAAAAACTGTATGCCATTTCCAAATATGTCCTCATAGAAAAGCCCTTCATGCTGTCAAAAGTGCAGCCAATGGATATACATTTACATATTATAATAAATGTTTAAGGTATGTGTACATGTTTCTGGAAGTTTCCTCACATACATTTCAACCACATTTTCAATTAACCAACAAGGAATTGTTTCTGATGGTGGAACATTAAGTTCTCATTCTCTCCCTCTCTCCCTCTCTCTCTCCCCCCCCCACCCCCCTCTGGGTGTGTGTGTGTATTTCCACACTCATTTACATATATATATAGGCTTAAGAAAAATCCTGGAACAATATAGTTGAAAACTTATACAGTGAGTTCAGAGGGTGGTGGAAAATTAAGAAATTAAGTTAAGATAAGCTAATACATGTTGCAAGAAAAAGAAAAAAAGCAGAGTGTGAAGGTTTTTTAAAAACTTTATAACAGAAAAAAAAATTTACAAATAAAAAGCCTATTATGAAAACAGTAATTTTGTTTATTTATTCAAACTATATGATATAAATTATATGGTTGAATATGAGAGACCTTTGGAGATGAACAAATCTAAAGAAAAATTAAAAATTTTAAATACAGTGCTTAGCCCTGGCCAGTTTGGCTCAGCGGTTAGAGCATCGGCCTGCGGTCCAGAGGGACCCGGGTTCGGTTCCCGCTAAGGGCATGTACCTCGGTTGCAGTTTGTCGTGGCCCTGGTTGGGTTGTGCAGGAGGCCCCCACTCGATGCGTCCCTCTCACGTCGATGTTTCTCTCTCTCTTTCTTCCTCTCTCTCCCTCCCACTCTATCTGAACAAAAAATAGAAAGATGTCCTCGGGTGAGGATAAAAAAATAAAATAGAATAAAAAATAAATGCAGTGCTTATATTCACTTGATCGGCAATAATAGGGGCAAAAACAAACTAGTAACATTAATTCTTTTACACAAATAATTAGACTGAGTTATAAACTTTCCTAATACCTTTGTCACTTGAGTGAGTAGGTTAACATCTGTTTTACAATAATTATCATAAAGGTACTAACTGACAAAAACATTATATTTCAAGCACATGTCCAAGTATATTTTCAAGTAATAGCTCTAGTTAGAAAAGGAAATTTTTTAAAGTTTCAATGAGGATGTCTACACTGATTAGAAAACTTTTTAAGGGGCAGCAGAGATAGGTTATTACATTTCTTGTGCAATAATGTTATCCTCTAAATAAGTTCATACTCTTATATAGTGTACTCACATATTATCAAACACATTATAAGGAAACAATACTATTTGAGAATATTCTTTAGAGACAGTAACAATTGAATAGGATTTTGTTACAGAACAATGGGGAAGCTTTTTTCATTACTTCAAATGTAAAGCTAACCACTGAATGTGGAGCTCCAGCTGGGTAGCTCAGTTGGTTAGAGCATCACTCTCCTGATGTACCAAGGTTGTGGGTTAGATCCCAGGCCAGGGAACACACGAGAACCATCTAAGGATTGCATACATAAGTAAAACAACAAATTACTCTGTCCCTCTAAAGTCAATTTAAAAAAAGAAAGAAAGAAATTTGGCAATGCCTATATTTATTTTCAAAATATGTCATTTATTTTGTGACTTTATTTTATTTATCCTGTGACTTTATTTTGTTAGCATGACTTTCTAAATGATGTCATGCTAAACGATGAATGCAGGTGTGCTGTTATTAAAGGGATGAGAATTTCTAAAGGAGCAAGAGTCTTTCAACATACTATCATTGAAAGCTGTATTAAAGTGGCTCAGATTATTTGTTTTAGGTTTTCTGCAAAGTATTTATATTTTTACTTGAAAAATAGGAATGATACTATTCTTATACGCTGGTCAAAACTCTTTGCAAAGTGACTGTTATTTAGCTCTGTATACTTTGTTTCATATAACTATTTGTTTTTCTAATGTTTGCTACAAATGTAGATTGGAAATGCTTCAAATCTATTCCATCATGAAAATCTGAAGATCCCTGAGGATATGAGAAAAAATAAAACATAGAATAAGTCTCTGAGACAACCCAAATGTTCTTTATAACAATACAAGATGTATAATGGCCAATAACTGAAGGTGTGAAACTTTTCTGGCTTGCCCATCTCAGGGCCTGAAACTCCTGAAGTGGGCAGAATCTAAACAGTATAGTGACTGATATTGTGGAATTATTTTTAATATGCATAAGTGTGACAGTAGTATTATAATTGTACAGAATTTTTACTTAATCTTAGAAGATGCTTGCTGAAGTATTTAGAAATTGTCATGCTCTCTGCAATGCAACTTTCAAAAGATTCAGCTTAATAAAATACATACTATGTGTATATTGTAAATATATATATGCAAGCATATGGTCATATATAAAAATAATATATATACATATATATGCAAAATAATAACAATTGCTAAATATAGGCTGGGAATTTACTGGATTCATGTGGCCTAATGCCACAAGCGAAGACTATGCAAAGTTGGATGATAAACACCCCAGGGGAAGGCCTTCCCCACCCCCACACACTATGGGATGAGAGTGAACCCTGGCTGCCCCTTTGCTAGCACTTTGTAGAGATACAGAGAATAGTCATTTACAGATATTCATGGTCACAGGCTTCTTCCTTCTCGGGGCAGTGGGAATATGGGTTATCTACTGAGAGCTAAGGAGGTTGGCAGAAAGGTAGTACGATGGAAAAATGAGGAAATAGTGAAGATTTTTTCACCACTTCTCTGAGAATGGGAAAGCAATTGCCTAACGATGAGTAACAGGATGGAGCAAAACTGAGGGCTGAGACGGGCGAGAAGTCTTAAAGATGTGAGACTGGGAACCACTGCTTTGAGCATTTCCTCTAGCAACTGTCAGACGTCTGACAGCAACACTAGAAACTCACTCCAAGAATAAGGTGATGAAACTATATTTGAACCCACTTACAATTAAGATGTATAGGTAACGAGTGTATATTAAATTAACATGCCCATCACTATCTTTTCCTGGAGTTACAGTGAAAAATCTGTGATATCTAGGTAAATAAAAAAGCCACTTGTTAGAATACAAATTCAGATATAATATTACTTCCTTTTTATTCTTCTTTATATAATTTTTAAATATCAAGGGTGAGCAGAGTAAATGTTTTAGTTTTTTTTTTTTAATTATCATGAGTATATAATTCTAAATGTAATATATTTTTAATCAGAATTAATACAGGAACTGTATATTTGTATTTAATCAAATGTGAGGTGTGACTAGAGAGAAATGTGATTGATTTTATTTAATCAGTATCATTTTAATATTAAATAGAATACACAGTACAGATAATTAGTTTAAAAGATGCATTTGCCTTCGGGGCACTTGTTAAGTTCAACCTAATATTACAGAATTTTTAAAAATCCTATTATTATAAAGTATTGAGATATCTCTTGTCTTCATATTTTCTAACATGTAATCATTTTAAATTGACAATTTAATCCAAATTGTCATAGGACAAAGAAAAATCTTTGGTGGAGAGATTATTAAGCTATGGCTTAGTTAAAAATATAATAAGAGAATAGTACTCACATTAAAAGGGTCATCAGTTATTTCAAGACTAAAGGAAAATTAACAGAATTATTTCTTATACCTATATAAGAATGTTCATATTTTTAAAAATTGCTTTCATGTTTATTATTTCATATACTCCTTCCACTAACCTAAGATATATCCTCCATGTATCAGTGTGGGGAACTGAAAATCAGAAAGCTTAGATGACTAGTCTAAGAAATAAAGTTAGTGACAGAATCCAAATATATGCTTTTTTGTAACAGGCTTTATTTAATTCAAACAACAGCAGGTTCAACAACAAGAAGAACATTTTAAGTTTCTTTTTTAGCCACGTCTCTATTTTGTAAAAGATTTGAAAAGCAAATAATTTTAAAATGTGGTTGAACAGAACTAAGTATGTAGTAACCACAATGTATATCTGTTCTGCCTGAAAGAACTGGATTGGATGTCAATATGGATTGATCGAACAGAGTGACGTCCAGTGCAATGGTAAATTAAAGGAGCCACAAAAACCATTTTAAAAAAATTTTCCCTTTATTGATTTTAGAGTGAGAGGAAGGGAGAGGGAGAGAGAAACATCGAGGAGAGAGAACATCGATTGGCCGCCTCCTGTAAGCCCCCCCACTGGGGATCAGGCCCACAACCTGGGCATGTGTCCTGACCAGGAATCGAACCTGCGACCTCTTGGTGCATGGGTCGACACTCAACCACTGAGCCATGCTGACCAGACATAAAACCATTTTCAATAACTTGTTTTTCTTACGTACAACTGGATACCTCTGGCATCAAAGAAGAAGTGAGAGACAGGGAGAAAGGCAGGTTTGGGAAAAGAATTGTCTCCCCCAAATGGTCCACTGCCTCAGCCTCAGAGACCAACATTGTCTTTCCTCACAGATGATGATAAAATGCATCAACGACAACTCTGAGATCTAGAAACCAAACACATTGTTTATTTCCATGAATTTTATTTTCACATTCCAGCTTCCTAACTTATTTAAGCATTTATGATTTTGCAGGTCCTTGAGTATGTACACTCACCCATAGGTACACGACAGTAATTTTAAAAATAACTGCCTTTAAAATAATTTTCATACTATTCTTGCTGTCTTTATTAACATGTTTAATCATTGATTATTTCAATGTGTGGCATGTAGATCAATTAGAAAATATAGAAACTGTTTTACTTATCCAGTGGCACTTTGACATATTTAATAAGATATAACTAGCAAAAATAAAATATTTTAGAAGTTAAACATGTTATAATCTTTTCCAGAGGCCCTTGCCTAACCACTTCTTACCCTAGCCAATTTTTTAATCTTGCATCAACAGACACTTAATGGTAAAAATATTTTTACCTGAGATGACTTCACTACCCCTGTAATTGCTTACCAAAAAAAAACCAATCTGGTCTTTCTTCTGTAAATGATCGTTTCTGAGCGTTGCAGAGTTTGGGTGGGGAGACTGAAGACAAGGGAAGGCGAGGCCCCTCCGTGTGTGTGCATGTCTGTGCCCAGGAAGAAAGGGCCGGCCGCCTTCCAGGAAACGGCACCTAGTGCTGGGTATCAAAGGTTTCCGGTGAAAGGTTAAAACAGGATCTATTATAGAGACATCCCAATTATTCCAAACATAGATTTCTACATATAACACCAACCAACAAGGATAACTAAAACCCTCTCTGATGCTACTGCTATTGTCCTGCCTGCTGATTAGTGACATTAAGCCATAAGAAATGTTATCTGACCTGCTGACCTGCTTAGGTCTCATAATATCATCAGAAGCCACTATGATTGAAAAGTTGTTGTTTTTTTTAACATTTATCTGTATCTATCTATCTATCTATCTATCTATCTATCTATCTATCTATCTATCTATCTATCTTAGCTGTGATCCAGGATAAGAACGTTTATCTATTTACAAAGTTCTAAAATAATTTCACAAAGACTTACGCTGTGTGCCTTATTCTCTGATATGTTCTATGATTCTCCCCTCTCTTCATGTCTAATCTAGTTCACTCCATTGTTTTCTTTCCGTTCCTGTTTGAAATGCTGGTCTAGATCCCCAGAATGGATTGTACGCGGTTGGTGGGGGCGGCGGCAGCATGAACATCAGCAACAGGTCGAGAACATGGGGTGCTGGGTAAGCAGATATCGCTTGCATGATGTGTGACTCTAGGTAGATTTCCTAATCTCTCTAAGCGCCACTTTCCTCAAGTGTGCAGTGGGTATCATCACTATTCCTTCCTTCGGGATTGAAAGGATGTCTAGTGAATTTACTAGCAAACTTACTAACCTTAGCACTTAAATGATCCCGAGTCCTTACTGGCTGCTTGGAGCTCAGCAAGAAGGGACTCGTTGCATTTTCTTCATCTGAAACTATTTTATTGCTGATAAGAACATGGGGACTAACAGACTTATTGCTGTTGTTTTTTATGAAATATCTGTGCTAGGACTATCGGAATAGAGAGAAAGATGGAAAGATGCAGGATGGGAGAGGGGACCAAGGAAAGAAAGCAATGGAGAAAAAGGGAGAGGAGAGGCTTAAGAGAAGCGAAGAAGATGAAAATCCCCCTGCTGTTCTAAATTCTGAAGACTGTTCTTCCCAAAATCAGAGCAAAGAAAACAGTGAAACTGAGCACGGGAAAGATGGACCTGATATTCAGAGCATGGCTGCAGGGTTTGTCTGATGTACTGCAAAATTCTGAAATACCAGATTCAAACATCTTCAAAGCACATTTCAAAATGAATGTACCTACTTACTGGCTTAATGTTTTGTTTTTAATATTCTTTAGCACTCTTACTTGATATATAGATAATTCGTAGATGCCTCTTTATGAGTGTGCATATGTACATTTGAATATGTTTGTGAATGAATGTTTGAGACAGAGGTCTGAGTGCAGCTGGTGGGTTGAAATTTAAAAAAAAAATAAAAATCACCATGGAAAAAGAATGCAATATAATAGATTAATACCTACTTAATTTCATTTTCATAAAATTCATCAATGATACTTCCTGTTATGGCTGTTCTTGCCCTCAACAAGTACATGAGCCCATTCTAGAAATGGATCATTGTATTGTTAGTGTCCTGCTGCCGAAAAGTCACTGTAGATAATAAAAGAATATTGACAATAATATTTAGAATTAAATCATTAGGCTGCTATGTTTTCATATTCATCAATCTTGGACAATACCTTAAATGATAAAAAAACAAATAAGTTATAATGAGATTTGTTCTCATACTTTGCCCTTCTAACTATCCACTGATCTCACACCAAAGCGCTTCCTAACCAGGTTAAAGCCGAATCTGTACTCACATTAGGCTAAGATTCAATTGACTTAAAATTTTACACTAACTGCCAGTCAACCTTATCATGAACTTTCATTATGTGCATGTAATTAATTGGGTCCAACGAACAATACCAGTACTGTGTTATAGACTCTTTTCCCCCGACCATATAATTAGAATATAATTACCCACAGGATATCAGAATGATGCAAAACCTTCCCTCTAAATGCACCCTCATTAGGAAACAAGTCTCAATGTACATTTATTCAATCAGTGTGAATTAATTAAAATGTTACTGAAATAAAAGAGCACCGCAATAAAAAG